TCGGGATAATGAGGAGGACTCTGCTGCTGCTGGCCTCTCTGGCCTTTGCTTCTCTCACTTGTGTAGCTGATGGAGCTCCATTGTAAGTAGACCTGCTGTACTTTTACACATTCCCAGTGAGGTTGAATTAATTCATGCAAAACAAAGCCAATGTCATTATCTTGGATGTGTGCAGAAGGTTTAATTGCATTGAACTGAATTGAATTGAATTTTTGCATGAATATATTATTTTATTTTGCATATATAGTTTCACACTCTTTTTTAAGCAAGAAGGCATGGGTGGTATTTGAAGGAAAAGGAATGAGGAAAAACTTATGGAAAAAAATATTGTTAATGAAACCAGAGTCCAACTAATTTTATTGCTAACTTTATTTTATTTGGGGTTTTTTTTGTGTAATGAGAAGCTGCAGCCAGGTCTGCAGCTTATGTAACATAAGTCAAGGTAATTCTGTATTTAAAGTGATGCCAAGAAGTTGTCCTAAACTGTGTCCAGAGTTTGCACAGTGGTGCATTACGCCAGACAAAGCAAATAGACTCCAGAAGCATGATGAAAAGATTTATTGATTTAGTTTTGGACTTTATTCAAGATAATCAATAGATCACTGATTGTGTTTAAAGTCCAGCACATAGCTCATAACCAATTGGAATTTACCCAAAAAACGAACCTTTCCATGGGTTAAAACATTTGATGTTTATAATGACAACCTCTTTATGCTGTCACTGTGGCTCCTTTTCAAGCAACCAGTCATATATTATAGGGAACAGAACTGTCATTATGATAAAGAAAGAACAACATCAAAGAACAGCATCTAAAGTGTTTTAAACATTGTGAAAGGGTATATTCTAACACAAGACATGATCTTCTCATGTTAAACAGACCTTAAATAAAACACAGAGGATTACAAAATCTAACAATAACTTTATAATATAAAATGGTTTATATTGTCTATGAATAACACTAATGACGAATCAACAAACTGGCATCAGGCTGCGCTGCAATATTTAAATAGAGAGTATTCAAAAATGTGAGCTCAGACTTTAGCAAAGAAGCACAAAGATAGTATTTGTCAACCTGGGAATTAAGAATTCCTATGTAACACTCTCACTGAATACTGGGTATTTCCACTTGCTCAAAACCTTGAAAAATATTTTTTAAAAACCCACAAATTAAAAAATAATAATTAAGAGTCACATGGGAAAACAGCCGGTAAATACTTTTTTTGAAAGTATTTGTTCATAAAACCTTTATACAATAAATAAATAGATAAAAATAATAATCCATCTTTAATTTTTAATTAAAAATAATTATTTCAGCAATTATTAACATGTTTTTCATAGTGTCTAAGATGAACATATAACATAATAAATAAATCATTTATTCTTTAGTCAGTAACAGCATGTGTTTATCTACACAGAGATTAACATCTATCATTAACATCTTTCTCTTTTATCGCTGCTCTGCAGGCAAGTGATGTCTGCCCCAAACTTGTTGCGGGTGGGAACTGCAGAAAACATCTTTGTGGAGTGTCAAGACTGCACTGTAGGAGACGTTAGGGTTGAAATCAATGTGATGAACCATCCAACCAAAACTAAAAGGCTGGCAACAACATCTGTGACCCTCAACGATGCA